ATACACAAAAAATAATTGAGTACTGTAGAACGTAATTAAATAAACATTTGTAACCCGAAATTCCACAAAACGTTTAGAAACCCAAAACGCGACATCCAAGGAGTCATCCATACTGTAACTGAGTGTTCTATATTCCTGCATATAACACAACGATAACCTATTCTAAAACTAATATTATCCTCCAAGACCGGTTGCAGTATACGGGCTGCAGCACTCCCAGCAAAGTAGATATTTATAAATTTACTGTTTAATAATCAGTTACAAGTTACAACAATTAGAGGCCACCCATAAATTACGTCACACGAATTTCATGATTTTTAGAGCACCCCCTCCCCTTCATTGTTATAGTTGATTACATTTTTATGAAGGTCACTACCCCTGGTATGAACTCACATATTCTGCAATTTAGAAATTATTTAAAACAGCATTTATACGACACGACATCGTAAACGAGGGTGAACTCGCGCATTCGCCACATCAAAAAATGTTGAAGAGTTGGAGTTTAGAGTTTTAATAGGCACTTTAGATTTGTGTATGTGACGCCTCGAAGCTTTGGCACACGATGTCACACATTGTTGCCCCCCTCCCTTTAATATGTGAAACTTATGGATGACCTTATGCATTATGTACTCACTATTACCAGGCAAAAACGTTTGCAGGCACTAAAAATCGAAATGGAAGGTGACAGTGCACTGCATGTATACCAGATGGTGCGTTACTCAATGCAAAGAGAATTCAACGAAGAACATCGTTCACTATACTATTTGAAATATGTACTATTTTGCCATGTTAGCGCGGAAAGCTCGTTTTGCGTGCTATGAAATAGGGAAGAAATGGCCTCTTTCCAGCCGTGTTTTAGTCGGGAGGCAATGAAATTAGTCTTTTGAGCGCATGCGCTGAAGTTTATGGGCATGTGCAAAAATCAGTTGTTCAATGACAATGTCTTTCTAACCCCTAAATCATTTACTCTTATTTCGCCAACTATCAATTTAATGACGAGCTTTCCGCACAAACATGACAAAAAGTAGTATACATACCTCGGGAAGAAACAGGGTTGTCTCAAACTGCATGTTTGCTACCCGAGCCGAAGGCTCATATGCAGTCTAAAATAACCCTGTTTCTTCCCTCGATACGTAATGTACTATTTCTCACGGTCAGTTTCTTCTAGATAGCCGCAGAGCAAATATTTTTATTATATATTTGTACGAAGAAACCCTGTTATTAAAATAAACAAAACACGACATCCCCTGAGGTGGATTATGCTACTATTGTCACGTGTTTCTCTCCGTAATTTGTAAATCTCACAATACCATCATTCTAACTTACTATCTACTACTTTTGCCACTGCGTATCCACGCCATTTTAAAATTTCCGCCAGCTTCGAGCCTCAGGCCTGTACCTTTGTCTGAACTCGTTTTCTTCTCTAAATGTTCCAAAGCCTAACTACTTTTGTCAAGCAACACCTGGAGTATAACGAAACATAAGACCCTCAACTAGTGCTTAGATCTTTTATTTTTCCCATGTCCACTACAGAAATTAATGAATGAACAAAAAAAATTAAAAACAGTCATGTTAGTTACTCGCAGTTCAGCTCACAGTTTACAACTAGTAAAATAAGACGAAATAGCTAATGTTTTCACGACCGCCGTTTGGAATCTGGTGAAAATACCTATGGAGCCGTTTATTCGATGTTTCGACAACAGCTACAACTGACATTCTCAGGGACCGTAGCGAGGGCATAAAGTCCTTCAGCTTCTGTTTGTAACATAATTGCATGAAGTATATCAAAAGGAAGTTACTACATGGTACTCTACTTCAGACTTGGACTATTCGTATAATTACAGCTGAACATCCTAACAAGGATGTTATTTAACCTTAAAATATGATACTATACGCACTAAGGGAAGAAAATGTGGTATTCCCTCCCAGACGTAAACTACCACTCGAGCTGAATGCGAGGGCATCGAACTCCTATGAGTGGGTGCCATACCTTCTTCTCGAGATCTGCATACGACTCTTTAACATACCCCTGTCCTGAACGTAAAATTAGGGAAAGGGACAATATAAAGATAGGAGACGAAAAATTAGAAAAAGTGGCTGATTTTAGAAATCTAGGAAGTCAGATATGTCAGGATGGAAGGAGCAGTAGGGTTATAAAGCAGAGGATAGCACAGGGTCGAGTCGCTATCAGTAAAAAAGAGTCACTTCTATGCTCGCGAATGGTTAATGTAGAAATTCGAAAAAGATTGTTAAAGGTGTATGTTTGGAACGCGGCGTTGTACGGGTGCGAAACATGGACAGTGGACGCGGCGGAAAAGAAAAGGTTAGAAGCGTTCGAAATGTGATGTTAAAGGAAATGAGGAGATATTAGAAGGAATAGAAAAACAGAGGACTCTATGGAAGTCAATAAGGAATAGGCGAGATAGGTCAGTAGAACACTTTCTCAAACATGAAGGTCTAGTCAGAGATAAATTAGAAGCAGAAACGGAAGTTAGGAGGGGTAGAGGCAGACGTATATTAGATTACTGTTCGAATAGTTAAGGATATGGGTTGTTCCAATTTTAGGGAAATGCGAAGAATAAATTAAAATAATAATAATAAATCTTAGGACTGACGACCTTATGATGATGATGAATATGTCACATTAATGTTTCAGGTAGAAGGAATCTTCCTAACTATATTTTTCACGATGTGATTATAGGAAATAGTAGTGGTGATTTTTAGTCGATAATCAAATGGGTATCATGTGACGCTCTTATACGGGGTGTCTTAGGGTGAGGGCCCATTATAATATTTCAGAAACTACTTCGAAATAAGTTTTAAAATTTTGAAGTCCAACGTTTTTGGGTCACTCTTTTTAAATAAAATACTGTCATTCTTGTAGCACTTCCTGTTAAAGCGAAAGTTACCATCAGCTTCCTTAATTTTAAAAATAAGTGTTTTGTCACTGACTAATTCAAAATTGCATATTTCTTATATTATGCAAGCTGAAGTATTGATATTTGGTAGGAAGATAAGGAAATGCCCACCATTTATTACAGTTACGTTAAAAGTTGTTTAGTAGTATACAGGGCGATGAAAATTTAATGCCGAACTTGCGTAAGTTCGAACCACGAAAACTTTTTTTTTAATGGAATGCCCTGTATAGCATTTTAGATTCAATTACAGAAATTTTCGCTTTATCTATCCACATACCCATCTCTTTTAGTTTTCCTATTATTTACAATTTAGTGTGATCGAATTTCTAGCGAAAATAGGTATGCTTCTATACTAGCAAACTTGAAAACAAACAAAAAATAATACATTTGACATCACTTACTATTATTGGTAGTAGTTAACTATTAATTTTAAAATCATGGAAAACAATACATATACAAAGCAAATGTTTAAAATTGATTGTTTATTCATGGATAATTTAATGGAATTATAAACAGAACATGCAGAACCCCAATTTGCATCAATAACTACAAATAATTAAGAAGGATTTTAAGGAATCAGTTACAATATGGTCGAAGTAGAGGAAAAAATTCTAAACATTTTAGACGATTTTAGAAGACCAATCGTGTCTGTTATGCCTGTTAAAAAAATGCCTTCTATGGTAAAGTTTGATTCATCGGTTCGTATCATATTTTGCAAAAATAGTGATACTTATTGAATTCGGATTAAAATCATTCTCAAAATTGTATCCGTTGCACATCATTTTTTTGATGAACGGCGGAGAGAAATTTGAATTTATACAGATGTATGTTATTAGGTTTCAGTATGTTAATAATGGAAGATACCTAAATAATATTCGACAGAACGATTTGATGATTCTGAATAAACATTAAAATATGTCAAAACATTGTTATATTATCTTGGCTGGAAGTTATTGGTCGCGGTAGAATTCCTTCAGCACTAATTCGACTATACTGTAACTGTTAAGAAATTAGCGTGACATCTACCAGTTCATTAGACTACTCACGCTGCAGAACACTCGTTTACCGAGTGTGTCTACGACCTCTCCCTCTCTCCTCGCTACTCGCCTCTGGAGCGGAGGACGACTGCCGGCGGCCATGAAACGAGAGTTGCTTTTTAACGTGCTATTTATTTTCGTTGAACTCAATTATATCAATATTAGTGTTATAATTTAGGTTTTTGTGTTTGCTTGAATTCCCTCTTAGTTTTTTTTTCGAACTTTCACTGTAATCCTCACGGTTCCAGATTGTTACTTCTCGCATTGTATTTATAGTACATTTGTTGGTCCTTCGAGCCGGATCGTGAGGTTTTAAGTGAATTTTCGTGAACGCAATCAGTGATTCGTGTGTGTTGGTGCTCATATACTGATTTTTATTTGCGAGTGCCGACATTTTCGGTTTCTTTGCGTGCGAATTCCCCTTTGTGTTGCTTGACAACAACGCTTGTTGTCCTGCGACGCTTGTTCAGTACTCTCCTTCTGTGCTTGTGCGTGAAGCAAGGTGCGCTATAGTTTCTCGCGTTAGTTGTGTCTCACTCTCTCTAAAATGGCGGCTAACAAACTAGCTCATCGTATTCAGCTTCTAGAGCAGCGCGTTACAGCTATTGCTAACATGGCGACTGAAGGAGAAGCTGGTGCGTTTTCTGCAATTAATCGCTACACAGTTTCCTTCAAAATTGATCTTCTCGAGCAGACTTGGCTATCCTTCTCAACGATGCACATGCAACTATTCGATGGAAAATCTGAAGGCTTGTTAGAGACGACTTACGTAAAACAAGATGTGTACAACCAATGCCTCCAACATTACCAGAGCGCCAGAATTTCTCTACTAGAGAGAAAGGAAGAGCTTGACAAGACTTCCTCTACCCCGTCGAGGACTGCAATGTTTGAGAATTCATTCACTACCGGAGGTTCATCACAACTTCAGAAGTTACCGGAAATCCAGCTTCCTACCTTCACTGGGTAGTATTCAGAGTGGAAACATTTCCAACAGTTGTTCGTTTCTCTGGTTGGAAACAATGAGACGCTCTCACCTGTCGTCAAGATGCACTATCTTAAGACACAGGTGAAGGGACCCGCTGGAGATCTAATCGCTAGTTTACCAATCACTGGAGAGGCATTCGCTACGGCCTGGGATTTATTAGTTCCTCGCTATGACAATCCTAGACTGATGTTATCTGCCCATCTAGACTGTCTTCTTTCACTTGAGAAGATAGCTCCTCGCTCTGCACGGGCCTTAAATAACCTCCTGAGTTCAACCACCAAGGCCATTGAGTCCATCAAGGGTCTTAACGTCACTACGGATACCTGGGATCCGATTCTTGTGTACCTTACTGTCAGTAAGCTTGACGATCGTTTGAGAGAAAGCTGGGAGAACCATCTAGGGTCTTCAACTGAGTTTCCTGCTTTCTCTTTTCTCACGCAGTTTCTGCCGGGACGAGCTCGCGCTATGGAGACGCTCGAGATCAACACTCCTGTTTCCACGACATCTACTGAGTCCACATCCTCCCGCCAGTCAGTGAAGTCCATTGCTTCTCGTAGCTCCGCTAGAGTTCATATTTCTACCGCTGCAGCCAGGTCAAGTAAGCCGGGGATGTGTGCCATCTGTGAGAAGAAGCACTACCTTCTTTTCTGTCCCACTTACCAAAATGCAGATGGACCTGAGGGCAAGTTGGAACTGGTAAAACAGTACAACTTGTGTTTCAACTGTTTGGGGCGACACAAAATTGAGAACTGTGAGACCAAACAAGGGTGTAAGAAATGTGGCAGTCCACATCATACTTCTACCCATTTTGAACGCTCTTCTGAGGCTCGAGGACTTGGTTCAACGCAATCTACCTATGCTGCCTCAGGAACATCGAACCAGGCTGAAACTCAACAATGACTAGCTACGTCTAGCGGTAATCTCGATGATGATTCTTTCGCTACTACTCAAGTAAACTCTCCTGTGTTACTCGCTACTTCTAGAGTTTTGGTTTCTTCGCTACGAGGTCATTCGTTACCTGCTCGAGCACTCATTGATCTAGGCTCTGAGTTGTCATTTATCTCGCTACAGCTATTCAAGAGGCTTCAATGCCCTCGCCAACGTTCATCGCTTTCGCTACATGGTATTGGAAATTCGTCTGCTGGCAATACTCTTGGAAAATGTCAACTTGAGCTGCATTCGCTACACTCATCAGCTGTGATACCTATCACGGCTCATATTCTGTCAACCGTTACAGCTAATTTACCCTCATTCAACTGTCCAGTCCATAATTGGCCTCATCTCTCTGGACTACAGTTGGCAGATCCAGAGTATTTTTTGCCAGGTGAAATTGATCTTGTGCTCGGCGCTGTTCCAACTGGGCTGATTCTTGACGGAGAGATTCTGAAGGGACCTCCCAACACTCCTGTTGCACAATCTACCGCTCTTGGTTGGATTGTTTTTGGGGCTGCTGATCATCCAACGAACTCTACAACCGCTAAGGGGGGCTATGGATATCACGCATCCGCTGATGATGATATTCAAGAGCTTCTCGCTTCCTTTTGGACCCAAGAGACGATCCAGTCTTCTTCTACTGTCATTCTCAGTCCTGATGAGGCTGAATGTGAGCATCACTTCGCTACTACTCACGCCAGAGATTCTTCAGGACGCTATGTGGTTCGCCTTCCGCTGAAACAGTCTATTGAACAACTTGGGGACTCCTCTACAGCTGCGAAAAGATGTTTACAAAGCATGCTGCGCCGCTTATCTTCTAATGCAACGCTTAGTTCACTCTACTACAACTTTATGAGTGAGTATGAACAACTTGTGATCATATGAGAGTTGCTTCCTCTGTTTCAGCTAGCAAACCACACTTCTATCTGCCTCACCATGGCGTCCTGAAGGAGCATAGTACGACTACCAAACTCAGGGTAGTATTCAACGGCTCCTGCAATACCTCTGCTGGTGCTTCGCTGAACGATGTACTTCATCCTGGTCCTAAAATCCAGATTGACCTCTCCGACGTTCTTCTCTGGATCAGACGACACCGCTACGTATTCGCTACTGATATCACCAAGATGTTTAGACAGATTAAGGTGCATCCGCTAGATTGGGATTTGCAACGCATTCTCTGGGTTAATTCGCAACAACAGGTAGTACCTTATTATCTTACGACAGTTACTTATGGCACCCGTTGCGCACCTTTTCTAGCGGTACGTACGCTTTTACAATTGGTCCAAGATGAAGGAATAAAGTTTCCCCTCGCTGTAGAGCCGCTCACGAAGGGTCGCTACGTAGACGACATTTATGGAGGAGCTGATTCGCCACAAGAAGCCGCTAAAATCGCTAACCAGCTGATTGAAATCTGTACTTCTGGAGGTTTTCCGCTCGCAAAGTGGGCCAGCAACTCTGACGAGCTACTTCAACAAGTCTCTGCAACGGACAGATCACCTGCAAGTTCAACCAGCTTTGAAGAGACTACCATCAAGGTGCTGGGATTAAATTGGCACCATTCAGCAGATAAGTTTAAATTCTCTTATCATTTTTCTACTGAAAAGGCAGTTACAAAGCGATCTATTCTCTCTGAAACAGCTCGCCTATTCGACCCTCTTGGATTTCTCACTCCTGTGGTTGTACGAGCCAAAATGATGATGCAAGAATTGTGGCTTGAAAAAGTTACTTGGGATGAACCGCTCTCTTCTACGCTAGTGCAAACGTGGAATATATTCAGAGAAGACCTCGCTAATATCGAGTCAATCGAAATACCTCGCTGGTTGGGGTTATCAGTTGGAGTCACCATTGAACTTCATGGTTTCGCTGATGCTTCGCAACTTGCTATGGCAGCAGTAGTGTACCTGAAGGTTATCTCGCCTGACGGAACTCCTACAGTCTCGCTTGTGTGTGCTAAAACTCAAGTTGCACCTCTACAACACACTACAATTCCACGCTTAGAATTAAACGCTGCAGTAATACTCGCTCAATTAACTCGCTATGTGAGTAAAACACTTGAGCTTGAAGAAGTTCCTATCTATCTGTGGACAGACTCGTCTGTGGCTCTTACATGGATTCGAAGCCACCCATCTCGCTGGAAGGAGTACGTGTGTAATCGTGTCATCAAGATTCAAGATCTTCAGCCCACCGCTAAATGGATGTTCATCCCTGGGAGGCAGAACCCTGCAGATTGTGCATCGAGAGGGCTAACAACAATAAAATTGGCTCAACATTCGCTCTGGTGGAGTGGCCCTCCTTGGTTGTCATCTGCTCGCGACCAATGGCCTACTTTCGATACTCCAACGCAGACTCTCGCTCACATTGAAGAAAAACCGGGTCTTATCTTCAACGTTGTAGGAAAAGCAGATCAACCTTCGCTTTGGGAACTGTTAACTCGCTACTCTTCGCTACCACGACTTCTACGTACCGTAGCGATCTGCTTACGCTTTGTTGCATGTGCTAAAAAGGTACCAAACTCTTCGCTGACGACCACACCGCTTTCTACCGCTGACCTGGAATCAGCTAGACTGCTGATTATAAAACTGATTCAGAGTTACTACTTCACTGAGGCTATAAAAATCCTAGTTCAAGGCAATCAGCTACCATCTTCACATTATCTATTGAAATTAACACCGTTCATCGATCATCAAGGTGTTCTACGAGTTGGTGGACGGTTGAACCACTCTCAACTTGATCCTGAGCAAAAATATCCAGCTATTTTGCCTCGAGAATCTCCGCTTACTTCGCTACTCATCACTGAAGCCCATCATAAAACTCTTCATGGTGGTACTCAACTTACTCTTGCTTACCTGAGACGGTCGTACTGGATAATTGGTGGTCGAGCGCCAGTACGATCATTCATCTTACGCTGTGTCACTTGTGCACGTCACCGAGGACTTCGAGCCCAGCAGCTAATGGGACAACTACCATCTACTCGAGTCACACCTTCTAGAGCCTTTTTATACACAGGGATAGATTATGCTGGTCACATCACTTTGAAAACCTGGAAAGGCAGAGGTGCAAAAACTCATAAGGAATGGATCGCAGCTTTGTGTGCTTCTCAACTTCTGCAGTTCTTCTTGAAGTCGTGTCTGATTATTCGACTGAGACATTCGTAGCAGCGTATAAGAGATTCGCTAGCCGTCGAGGCATCTGCTATTCTCTCTATAGTGATTGTGGTACCAATTTCGCTGGGGCAGATGCAACGCTAAAATCGCTATTCAAGGCAGGATCAAAGGAACTTGGAAAACTCGCTACCCTTCTCTCCAACGACGGCACAAACTGGGTATTCAATCCTCCTGGGGCTCCTCACTTTGGTGGCAAGTGGGAAGCAGCAGTGAAATCGCTAAAATTCCATCTTTCAAGAGTTATTGGTGAAACTTTACTCACTTATGAAGAAATGACAACGTTCCTTCATCAAGTAGAAGCCATTTTGAACTCGAGACCACTCGCTCCGCTCTCTGAGGATCCTGCAGACCTGTCAGCGTTAACTCCAGGTCATTTTCTTATCGGTGAGGCACTAAATGCTGTTCCAGAACCTTCGCTGAGTGAACTCGCTGAGTCAAGACTCTCAAAGTGGCAACTTATACAACAACGAACAGAACATTTCTGGAAAAGATGGTCCGCTGAGTGTCTACAACGCTACCAGGCCATATCAAAGTGGCATCACGCTTCAAACGAGGTGAAAGTCGGCTCGCTTGTGCTCATCACTGACGAAAGGCTACCACCAACAAAATGGCCCCTCGCTCGAGTTCTCTCTCTTCATCCTGGACGAGATGGACTGACCAGAGTGGTTACTATTCGTTCCGCTACCTCTACTCTGACCAGACCAATCGCTAAATTGTGTGTGCTACCAGTCGACGCCTTTGAAGAACCTTTTGTCAACGCTGTCGCCAAAGGGGGGGAGAATGTTAAGAAATTAGCGTGATTAACGACCCAAATCGACAACGACCCGACATCTACCAGTTCATAAGACTACTCGCGCTGCAGAACACTCGTTTACCGAGTGTGTCTACGACCTCTCCCTCTCTCCTCACCACTCGCCTCTAGAGCGGAGGACGACTGCCGGCGGCCATGAAACGAGAGTTGCTTTTTAACGTGCTAGAGGCAACCACGTGTTGATCTATTTATTTTTCGTTGAACTCAATTATATCAATAGTAGTGTAATAATTTAGATTTTTGTGTTTGCTTGAATTCCTCTTAGTTTTTATTTTTATTTCGATTTTTTACTGTAATCCTCACAGTACCAGATTGTTGCTTCTCGNTTTTTTTTTTTTTTTTTTCGAACATTCACTGGAATCCTCACGGTTCCAGATTGTTGCTCCTCGCATTGTATTTCTAGTACAGTAACTGATTCCTTAAAATTATTTTTAATTATTTTAATTCATACCATTATCCAATTCAATTATACATTACTGTTCACGCCCTGTAAATGTATATTTTATGTCTCAACACCCGGTAGATGTCTTTATGTCTTAGATTACTTTAAACCCATTTATTGTCACTTGCTAAAGTTATACACTGAATGGCATGACCATAAATGTAACAGCGAAGGCAAGTGGTTGTGCCGCTTTGTGTAGATATTTTTGTTTAGGTACCTAAACCTCATTAATTTGAGGTAGTGTGTAGTGGGTAAAAAAAAATTCAGAAACGAATTTTCAGAATATTTCACCTAAATTTAAGTTCTGTAAACATCGGAGAGTCTGATTTGACACCCCGACACGATAACCTCGAATTTTCTGTAGTTTTCGATAATAAAGTTATTATTTGTTAAGTTCACTCTGCCGACTTTTATTGCGACAATCATCAACGTAAAAACATTTAATGGTCCTTCGAGCAGGATAGTGTCGAATCAGAGTGAAAATAAAATAAACAATTATCCATGAAAACTAACAAAGTCTCAGGATAACAAATACATAACTGCAACCCAATTCACAAATCATAAGGTAAGGTCGTTCTTTCCACACATTCATTAGCGATAATTGTTGTTGTCTTAAGTTTCAGGTTTTGACGGAGAATTCTCTAAAACTAAGTTTGTGCAGTCAATTTATATCGTCATACCATAATAATTCCAAGATAATCGTCATACAATTCATACATTTATTCATTTCGCTTACACTATCTTCATTATTATATTATTCATTATCATTACTCTCAAGGGATCAAAATGTCAGATCTTACGTCATTTTTTTTAGAAGAACTAAAAAGAAAACGTGATGGAATTAATGCTAAGGTCACAAATTATGGAAAGTTTTTAGCAAACATTAAAGGCGCACCAGAGACTCTGGATGAGGTAGGTATTTTGGGTGTGCAAAAACGTTTAAATCATTCAAAAAACTTCTTGAGTTTGAAAATGTACAGGGTTCAATTGAGGCAAAATGAAAATTTAATACAACTTGAATATGCAGAGTGCGAAGCATTTGAATCAAATTTTCATACGTAAATGGCAATAGCAAAGGGTATTATAAAAAATTTTACAATAACTTCGGACAATGACTCCAAATCGATGGTTAGCAATTCACGCGAACCTAACAATGTTAAACATGCAGGCATAAAATTGAAATCCATCGAAATTCCTAAATTCAGCGGTTCTTATCAATTGAAGGCAAAAACTTTTCCAACGTCTTCAGGGTCCACAAAAGTCCAAAACAATATCCTAACCATCTTTCTACATCATCCTTCTTTTTGTATTCTGCAGTTAGTCCATGATTTTGAATTTTTCGCCACCACGCTTAGGATAAGTGAAATCTACAGCCTATTAACCTTATTTGCGGCCAAACGCAATAAACTGCGTTATGTATGGCTATTTCAAAATCCACTACTTCACTCGGTTGAAATATAAGGGAATTTTGGCAGCACTTATTTATTATGAATTCAAAACACTTTTTATAAGTTTCAGTTGTTTTATCCGGTAACAAACAGAAGAATAAAGGAATGTAGTTGTAAATAAAATTTAGTGCAATAGTCGAATTTACCATCTACATAAAGTCTCTCACTAAAACATAGTTGCTTTAAATTTGTCAAATAACTAAATATAATAATTCGGTGTTCTTCACTGTTTTCTAATATAAATTCTTCCTTCTTGTTGGTATAAATCTTTAAAGACTTCAAAACGCTTTTTCTTGCTGGCATTTAGGCAATTTTGGATAGAGTTTTCTTGTGTTGTAAATATTTCTTTTAATATGTGATAAATCGTCATAATTAAGTAAAATAGAATCTTCATTTACCAATACACTTCGTAAAACTTTATACGTTTGCGGAGAAATATCATCAACAGCTTTTTTTTTGGCAGAATTGGACACAATCTTCTTCTGAATGGCACTGTTTTCGTAATTGGAATGATTACGCGTTAGGTGGCTTTTAGAAATTTCATTTTCTACACCTACTGTATAAATATTTGCCGAACAGTTTGCATTTCTGCACCTCCACATTTTTTCACCACTTTTTAAATATTTCTGAAAATTATACGTATAATTGTCCAAAACTAGAATTTTTCTTCTCCGTTCTGATGAAATAATTTGTACACTACTGCAATTTTCCTTTTTATCCGATACACACTTAACAGTATTTATTAACAAGTAAAAGACAATGAGCAACTAACTATAGAACTTTTGAACGTATATTTCCAGCACTGGTCGCATACACGGTCTAGTACCAAGTAAAACATACATCTAAATTATTATACACCAAGTTAAACCCCTGCGCGTCTCTTTCCCTCCAGTATGAGACGACCAAAAAGAACCGGATGAATGTAATAAAAATTGGAAAGTTATCTCTGCTAAAACGCATTTTGCTAGAAAACTATTTATTACCCTTCGGTCGCTTCGCTACCCTTGGAAGTGCAGGTAGTCGAAGACTTTCGAAGTTTTGTGATAAATTCGGCGGGAAAAAGACGCAGAAGGTTAAATATTCTATTTACAATTTCTACGAACTACAAACTCCTTAAATATAATATGGCTCGAGGGTAAGTAGCGTGACCGCTACAACATGTTTAGAAAATTTCATTTCAAAATTCAACCACCTTTTCAACCTACCGCTACCGTAAAGGGTAGAATATGATACTGACTTGACGATTGGGAAATGAACATTTTGGTTTAATTACTTTTTCTACCTGTCTTAATGACATAATTACCAAAATTACCTGAGCAGTAACGGGCCGAATTTACATTTTATTTTTGGGCCCGATATAATTCTTCGGGCCGAATTTACCACTATTATTAACAAAAACCCATTAAATGGGCCGAATTTACAAATGCCGTCGACACATATTCGAAACATTTGCATTCTCTCCAACAAATGGGACAACAAACCGATCACTGGGACGTGTTACTTATTCGCAGTGTAACAACCAAATTAGATTCATCCACTTTGTGCGAATAGAAAAACGCGAAGGCAAATGCTAATAATGAAATACCTGCATTTAGTGATCTTAAGACCTTTTTAAAGGCACGCGCCGATTTATAAGACTTTAGAAACTAATCAAGCTGAAAAAAGGGCTCATCACAACACTTCATCTAACAATAATTCGCAAACAGGCACATACAATCATACAAACGGGTATTATTTATCACATCACGCATCAAAAAATTCAAACAAGCTCACGTCAAACCAAAATAAGACTCATAGTAAGTCATATCAAAACCCACAGTGTTCCATATGTTAAAATTCTCTGTAGGAAAGTTATTAATTCGGCATTTATTTACTATTTGGGCTAACTAAATATTAATGACATATATGTAGAATGAAACCAAAGAGGGCCGTTGGAAGAGGGCTTTTATGTCAAAGTCAGTGGTGGAGTGATAGCCGGCGTGTAAGGATGTGTAAAGCGCCTTAAGAGCGGTGGTTGCTCTGGTGAGAGAGTAAGATGCCGTAAGGGCAGTGGTTATTCTGGTGAGAGATTAAGGTGCCGTAAGGGCAGTTAGCATTTGATAATATTGAGAAAGTTGGTTATTGTGCACATATTATGTATTTTATGTGTTGTTGTTATTGTTGAAATGTGAGGCCTGTAGAAGTGTAAGGCGAACGGCCGACGGGTCGGATGTACCTTTAGGTGAAGTGTAAATCCTGTGCGTCAGGTAGTACACTGCATGATCTAGCTAGATATGCCTGGAGTGGCAGTGCACCTGTGGTTGACGTGTTAATGCTCCGTAACGAATTAGAAAAGAAACACAGACACGACCCATCAAAGGCTGTCAGTATCTCCAGCAAAAGGACTTAAGACATTCTATTTCGAGGGTTTTCGCTACGAATAATAAGTATCTAATGACATAGCCCGACATGTTAGCAAAGTAGGTTCAGAAATTCAGAAATTTCGTTTCAAAATATATGTCTCCTGTTGAAATATGAATATTAACTGGGTGGTCGATAAGTTTAAATCAGAAAGGCTGATCTATTAACATACAAATTTTCAGACTTAAGTCGTTTGCAGGGTAGAAAATATCGTATTACCTCTAAAATCATTCCTAAAACATAGGCTCATACTGTCAAAGATTAGGGTGCAAAATAAGTTATTGCTGTAGAGGGATTTTTGGAAATGTCTCGAGTACTTTACAGTGTCTGTTGTGTATCTAATAAATTATAAACGAATAGTGTGTGTGTATGTCTGTGTAAGTTTTAGTATTATGTGGTGGTAAGAAGTTATAACGTGATGCAGATAGTTCGATTTTGAAATTTGTGCGAGTAAGAGGTAAATTGTGAAAATGAGTTTTCGACGAGTTAGACAACTTTCTACATCTTCTGAAGATGAGAGTGTTAAACGATCGGTTACGCCAATTCATAGTTTTGAATTACCTATGAGTACCAGTGAACAATTAACCAAAATGGTAGGTCAATTAACTGACTATGTATCGATCACCTCATCATCTGCATCGATCAATCCATGGGGCGAAGGGATAAGTAGTGGATTTAGAGAAAATGTAATACCTGTAT